ATATGATTGCGATTGCGAGTCCGCAATGAGCCTTTGACTGAAACCTTCATATTTATTCCCTTGATTTTCATCTGATAGTATTTTGCGAACACACTTTTCTCTACGTCAATCACTTCAAGAAAATAGATCTAATCAGTAGAATTCTCATTCTTTTATTGAATGAAGTGAGTTCAGCGGTTGCGATTTCCGTGCGACACCTAGCGAAGCGAAAGTTTCAAGCAAGTGCAACTGGACTTAAGCGATTTCGATTTGGCGATATGTCCACAGGTAATGTCATTATAATATAGGCGTTTTTACTACAAAAAAATAAGGAAGGCATATCACTCAAGCGAAAGCGATTGCGAATTTACACGATTTAGAAGAGGTGTGCTTTATCACAACTTTTTTTACGCTACATTTTCACTTTTTTGTAGCGATTTTATTTTTTCCGCACACATTTTGATTTCTCTTTGTGGCGAATTCTTTTTTACGAACATTTTCTCACTTTTTTTTCGCGAATACTTTTCCACCTTTTTTGCGAGGGGCGCCGGGGGCGTCGGATTTTTTTTTTTCACGACTTCACTCTCTCCTTCATTTTATGCAAGTGCGATATTTTCTTCAACGAAAAAATGGTGCTACTTGCGACTTCGAACGAAAACCACATTAACTATTTCCACGAAGATTTTACACAAAAAACAAAAGAAAGAAGATAAAAAAAAAAAAAAAAAAGAAAAAAGAAAAAAAAAAAGAAAAAAAAAGAAAAAAAAAGAAAAAAGAGAAAAAAAGAAAAAAAAAGAAAAAAAAGAAAAAAGAGAAAAAAAAGAAAAAAAAGAGAAAAAAGAAAAGAGAAGAAAAAAAAAGAAAAAACCTTTTTCGAAGCCACTCAGTCACAACTCGAATTTTCTCAAGAATATTCCCAGTTTTGCAAATGCGAATGCGAATCGAAATGACGATCCAAACAACTGACAACTTACTCGATTTTTCGACAACTTCCCAGTAACACTAAATTGCAGACCTGAAGAAAGAACTTCGACAAGCACAAGCTCAACTAGAAAAGATCAAGTCAGCACTTCCGCCACTGCCAACACCGGACAAACTATATCAAGACATAGTTCATTGCTGTAGTGAAGTACTCTATCTCGTCGATCTCATTGATAATCTTAAAGAAGATATCTCTTATTTCTTCGATAACAATGAACCTTGGAAAATCCTAGAGCGCGAAGCCCGCATCAAAGAGTTGACTGTTGAAAACTATTCTCTAAGATTGCATCTTCTACGAAAGCAACTCTCTCTCTTCTACTCGACTGTTCCCGTTATTATCTCTATGAATATGATCTCCGAGAAGGCATGGGACTCACAGATGAGCACTCCTCAGCAGTATACGAACACGTCTGGAAGGAAGTTCACGTTACCAACTTCACAAAAAGCAATCGAGCGGATCCTGACCGACCAAGAAGAAGTGATCAAGGAGCTGTTCACGAAGATAAAGGATATTCGAGCAGAATGTCTACTCCAAGAGCGGTACCGCCAAGATGTCTCGAACAAGCGAATCTGCGACTCCCTGAAGGAAATCAAGGAAGAACTCGACCAGTTGCGAGGAAGTTTGCAAGACAATCGTGATGGGCGAGTCAGCGAAAGCGAACAAGCGAGAATCGCAGAAAATGTGGAGTTCATGGAGTCTGTCCAAGAAGAACAACCACAACCACCGGACGAAGAAAAAGAGTCTATATTCGAAGAGATCCATCATCTCGAGCAAGAACTGAAGCAAGTCCACAACAAGATACGCGAACTTGCCGCTCTCCGAAGATGTCGTCCTAGACAATATGAAGAAGGAATCACACGTGAAGAAGAGACAACGATGCGATGCGCTTTCTGCTTTGCTGAAGGCAGGCACTATTCCGATTCCTGCCCCGAAGTCCGGACAGTGGAGGAGAGATTGGATTCACTGAGAAGAAGGAGACGCTGTACCATCTGCCTGGACATAGAATGCGATATGGGCTATTTCTGCCCGAAATACAGCAAAAGATGCCATCACTGCCATAAAGCCGGACACGCCTCCGCAGTATGCACGCTACC